CAGGAAAAGACTTCTAAAATTATCACTAAAATATATATCAACACTTAAATTATATATATTCTGGTATTCAAATTATATATATATATATGCTGCTAAAAAAATTAGTGTCATCTTCCCCCTCCCATTCTTCCCCCATTTCTTCCTCTTTTGCCACATTAAAAAAATAATTACAGGGGTTTTTTCACTGTTTTGTCACTTTTTTTCCACTCTAAATTTTCAAAAGTTTGACTTTAGGAAAGTTACAGAGTAGCAAAATCAGTGTCCCATTCATCCTGTTTCTGCTTTGTAAATTTCCCAAAGCTGTGGAAGTTTTGAAACCTTACCAGGGTGGGGAGGGGGGAGGAGGCAAGTTTTGCCTAGTTTCCACCCAGAATCATCTCTCACTTTGGACTGACTTGGAACACAGCCGTGGAACTACTCCATGTTCCCATTGGACTTACTTCAGAGGTCCAGCAGGTTCAGGGTTTCATTGCTGATGTTGAACTGGCTGTAACTAACAGTAGGCATGGCCCAAAATAAAATAAAATAAAAAGCTAACCCTGGCATTTTTTCAAGACTCAGTCATGATACTTTGGTTCTATAAAGTTTTCATTCCCCTTCTACTCGTCTCTCAAAGGTACTTTTACTCCCCATCACTGTTTCAGCAACGTAGACTCCAATGTGTAGTCCTTTTGAAACATGTGAGTGCTAGCGTCCCACTATGCTAATTGACACAGTGGTAAATAGGTGACTTGCCCAAGGTCATTCCTGAAGTCGTTGGCAGAACAGAGAATTGGACCCGTGTGTTTTAAATCCTAAGCAAAGATGATGGGACAATTTCTTATGCTTGTGCCTGACCAGTGTATTTCATCTGCAGAAGTGTTCTTCCACAGTAGAACAGTATATCCACATGTTTGGTAGCTGTCAGCTTGAACAGGATACAGACTTTCATAATGGGAGGGGGGCAGACTGGTGAACAAAGCAGGCCATTATGTTTATGAACCATCTTCTTCTTAAGCCTTTGCTTTCTCCATTCCAGTTACTACTTGCTGGTCTCTTTCTGAGTACTTGCGGTCCCTGGAGCACAAGTTGAGAATCCGTGGTAATACAGTATGTCTGTGAGATGGTGTAACAGTCGAGAAATAAACTTCTTCAGATGCCGCTAGGTGACATTTTCTCTTAGCAGAGACTCTCTGTTAGTCGTGGATCTTGGATCTGAAGCTGAACACCTTCACATCGCAGGGATGGCCAGACCCAGGGTTCGTTTTGACACCCCAGAGACAGCTTTTCAGTTCTGGGGACTTAATTTAAGCACACTACTACTTGCTAGCTGGGAGGACAGTGTAAATTGCGAGGTGAAACAGTGATGGGTGTTGAGATGGTCCTGAGGGAAAGGATGGTTTGAGGCAATCTAAATCCATAGAAAAAGAGATGAGCAAGTTGAATTTGTACTGGTACCAGTAACAGCAAAGGTAAGTGAAAACTGCTGCATTGCACTACAACAAACTGGTACAGCTACCTAGGCAAACTTCCTCATTGAATCCTTGACATTTGGAAATGTGTCATCTTCTATTTTCTTCTGCTTTTGCTTGATTGGGGGTTGCAGGCCAGTGCGCTCGCACTGCCAGGCAAGAATACCAGCATGCCTCTTAAAATGATGGCTCATATTTCACTTTCCTAGGTTGATTTCTTTTTTCTTTTTCTTTTTTCCAAGGGGTCATGACCATGTAATGTTCTAGGGAACAGAGATGCCCCAAAAATTCCATCATTTTTTGGAACTCTTCCCTCTCCTCGCTTGCATAAACAGAATTAAGCAAAAATCAACATCTCTGAGTGTTCAGATAAAAATTAAATTTTAATTTTAATCCAAATCACACTTGGATTAAAAATTGGCAAAACCAAAACCCAGAGTGATCTGGGTTTGGCAAACTAAGGGCATGGACATAAGATCACATACTGTTATATCATTTACATTGTGGGGGTTGGTCCCTCAATGTAAATTACACTCTGGCCAGTGTATAGACATACAGACATGAAGCTCATTCTTGGGTAGCAGACTATAATATAGGCTACTAGTTCTGTGTCTTGCCTCCAGGTAACAAGAGACCACATAACAACCTGTTTGCCTTGAGCGAAAGGAAACTCTGGAGTAAGATGACTGATGGCTAAAAATAATTCTTCATCAAATTGTGTAAAGTTACCTCCGTTTTAGGGAGCTACAGCATGTTTACTACATTTTTGTGGTGTTATAATGGTGACTACATCAGTATAAACATGTTTTCTGTTCAGGCCCTCAAACCACACCTGTTTTTTTTCACCCAGTCATAACGAGGCAGCTGGGTACCTGGGGCAGCTGTAATACATGGAGGCAGAGACAGGATCTGGCTGCTCTTCTGCTTCCAGTGTAGATGTGCAGCTGTGGCAGCAGCAGCTTCTATTTTTCTACCCCCCACTGAGTTAGTACCTGGAGCATCTGCCCTGATTACCCTGCTTTATTATGCTACTCCTTTTTCCCACCAAAAGGGCCTAATTCCTTTCTGCCTTGCCATACCCAAAGCCATTTTAAATCGGTGCATGCCCCAGGTGTCAGAATGGTACCATTGTGCACTCATCTTTGCATTGGTATACATGTGCACAAAGTACAGAGCTGTGATGAATTAAGCCAATAATGTTTGCTGCTGAATTACCAGGTCAACAGTGGCCAGCATCTGTTGCCCACCTTTTTATATTCCTATCCTTACCATCAGCCATGCTCTGAACAGTGGGCAGGGTTTTCTGTGCTCTGATCAGAGAGAAGCAGGGATAAGTCTGTCCTTCATGTGCAATGAGCTCGAAAGATGGGGAAGCAGTCTGGTGCCAGCATCCTACATGGTACAGAGGCATGTTCTCCTGTCTTCCAGCTGTGCAAGAGGAGCGGCAGAGAAGCCGAGAGAGGAGCGAGAACGAGGCTGAGTCCACGAGCAGTAGTAATGAGGACATGCCCGTGGAAAGGATTTTAGAAGCTGAATTAGCTGTTGAACCAAAGACTGAATCATACAGTGACATGAATGCTGAGAACTCGGTAAGCAGCAGCATAGAATTAGTGTCTGCATGCTGGGTAGTTTTACAGAACCCACTAACAGAGATGAGCATGTCCCACTGTGCATTTAAAATCAGTAGTATGGAACATAAATTCATAGACATTAGGGCTGGAAGGGACCCTGCAAGATCATCAGGTCCAGCTCCCTGCCCAAGAGGTAGGAAGTCACTGGGCTCAAATGATCCCAGCAAGAAAGGCATCCAAATGTTTATTGAAAGTGTCCAGAGTAGGCACTTGCATCACTTCTGGGGGGAGTCTATTCCAGGCCCTGGGGACTTGGACAGTAAAGAAGTTTTTCCCTATGTCCAGTCTAAAACGGTCTTTCAGGAGCTTGTGACCATTGGGCCTTGTCTTCCCTTGGGGTGCTCTGGTGAACAGATGTTCTTCCAGTTCCTGATGCACATCCCATATGTACTTATAAGCTGCCACCACCCCTGGGCCTACACTTTTCCAGGCTGAAGAGTCCCATGCTCTTAGCCTCTCCTCATAAGGCCTGCTCTCTTGTCCTCTGATCATATGTGGCTCTCCTCTGGACCCTCTTAAGTTTCTCCACATCCTTTCTGAATTGCGGAGCCCAGAATTGGATACGGTATTGCAGCTGCGGCCTCACCAAGGCCGAGTAAAGTGGGAGGATGACTTCCTGGGTCTTGCTTCAGATGCATCAGTAGATGCAAGCCAGAGTTATATTTGCTTTGCCTGATGCAGTATTGCATTGGTGGCTCATGTTCATCTTGTGATCAGTCGATGACCCCCCCAAGTCTCTTTCAGTCATGGTGCTAGCTACTGTAGCACTGCTGAGCCTATAAATGTGATTTGTGGGTTGTTTCTCCTGAGATGAAACACCTTGCAACCTCCGTGTTGAACACCATCAGGTTTTGATCCATCTACCTTGCAAGCCTGTTGAAGTCAGCCTGAATCACCAGCCTGTCCTCTAGGGTGACCACACTTCCCCATAATTTGGTGTTGTCAGTGAACGCAGTCAGTCCACTTCTGACACCAGAGTCTGGATCATTTATAAATGGATTGAAGAGTACAGGTCTGAGAATGGAGCCCTGGGGGACACCAGTTGTCACCTTGCGCCATGTTGATTGAGTTTCATCGACTGTCGCTCTCTGGGTCCATCCATGGAGCCAGTTCCCCAGCCATTGGACCATTAGGTTGTTGAGGCCTCAGTTCTCCAACTTTACCATGAGGACATCATGGGACACCAGATCAAAGGCTTTCTTGAAGTCCAAATATATTGGATCAACGTCTTCTCCTTTGTCCAGGTGATGCATCGCCTGGTCATAGAAGGAAATGAGATTGGTCAGGCAAGGCCTACCCGCAACAAAGCCGTGTTGGCTGTCTCTCAGAGCGTTGCCTTCTGTTAACCTGTTGTTAATTGTTTCCTTGATTATTTTTTCCAAGATCTTTCCAGAGATTGAGGTCAAACTGCTGGGCCTGTAATTCCCTGGATCTTCCTTCCACCCTTTCTTGAAAATAGGCATCGCATTGTCCCTCTTCCAATCTTCAGGTACCTCGTCCAAGCACCATGAGTTCTCGAATAACCTTGCCATTGGCCACGCCATGATGTCAGTCGGTTCCTTTAGCACTCTTAGCTGCATTCCATCTGGGCCAGCTGATTTGTGGGTGCCCAGCCTCTCAAGGTGCTGCCTCACAAGATCCACGCCAATGATAGCTGTATGTTCGCCCTGTTCCTGGTGATCCTGCATCCCATCAGGCAGGGGGATCCCCTTGGGCTGGTGGAAGACTGATGCAAAATAATTGTTAAGGAGATTTGTTTTTTCCTGGGTGTTGATGATGAGCTGCCCTGTTTGGTTTAGTCAGGGTCCAGTGTTGCCCTTGTCTTTTCCCCAACTTCCCACATATCTGTAGAAGGACTTCTTATTGTCCTTGATTTGTGTAGCCAGTTTGAGCTCAGTTTCAGCCTTGACTTTCCTAGTTCACTCCCTACAGGTGTGAGCCAGTGCTGAATACTCTTCCTTGGTGGTGTTTCCCATCTTCCATCCTTTATAAGCTTCTCTCTTTAGACACAGGAGGTCCATGAGTTCCCTAGTGAGCCAAGGGGATTGTCCAGCCCTTTTGCTGCTTTTTCTATGGGCTGGAATGGACTTCCCATGTGCTTCAAGGATCACATCCTTGAGGAGCAACCATGCTCATGGACTCCCCTCCCTGTCAGATCATGGCCTCTCAGGGCCTTGACTACTGGCCTCTGGAGCTTGTGAAAGTTGGCTTTCCTAAAATTGAGGACTTCTGCATTGCTGATTGACTTGCCAGCTTTGTGGTGGATAAAGAAAGTGATCAACTCATGGCCACTGTTTCCCAGCTTCCCTTCAATTCTCAGGTCGCTCACTAAATTGTCTCCTTTGACCAGTACCAGGTCCAGGAGTGCCTTGCATCTTGTCAGCTTGTAGACTCCTTGAGACAAATAGAGCTCATCAATGCATGTGAGGAAGCATTGCCACCAATCTGGATTTGGCTGAGTGCTCTTTCCATGAGATGTCAGGGTAGTTGAATTTGGTCCTGACAACCATGCACCAAAAGCATACAGCCTGAGTCAGTTCCATAGCGACTTCGTGGTCAAGTTCTTACTTCTAATTAGGAGGTCTGTTGTAGACTCGTACCACTTGTATCCCCTTCACTATGTTCCCCCTATATTCTTACCCAGAGGGTCTCAAGTCACCCTCCTTGGTTGCCAATCTCCACCTGTAGTGAAGTGTACTGCTCCTTCACATAGAAAGCTACGCCCCCGCCCTTTCTTCCAGCATGATCTCTCCTGTACAAGGTATAGCGATCTACACCTGTGGTCCAGTTTTAGATGAAATCCCACCAGGTTTCTGTTTATCCCTATGAGATGGTAGTCATTTCTGTTTAGCAGAAGGGCCAGTTCTTCCTGTTTTGTTGCCCAGGCTCCTGGCATTTGTGTATAGACAAGTGAGCCTGCCATCAGAGGCCCTAGTCTTCCCTGCACTCCTAGAAGAGCCCTGTTCCTGGATTAGGGTAGGAGTGAGTTCCCTTGTGCAGCCTGACCTGATTTTGTGGTTGATGGTTGGTGGGCTTGCACTAGTGGTTGTCTGCCCATCACCTGGCAAACTAAGTTTAAAGCCCAGTCAACTGTTATTTTTCCATTAAGGAACCAACTCTAGGGAGAAGAAAGGGAAACCAGTCAGTGGCAGCCCACAATCAAAACAAAGTAATTGCTAATTAATCCTGGAAATCTCAGCAGAGGATGGAGAAGGAGTTTCTAACCTCTAGTGAGCTGTTATGGTTGTCAGGGTGTTTAGTAGGACTGGCCGTTTATCAGATTTTTTTTTTTCCAGTGATATTTTGCATTGAAAGTCCAAAGGCTAATTTGAACACTTTTTTAAAAAAACACCTTTTTGACCAGCTGGCTTGTAAAAATAACACTAAGAATAGTGTGAATTATTTTCCTGTTTTCTGACACCACCTCTGCTGTTTTAATTGGTAGATGACCTTTCTGAAGTCTAGCTACAGCTCTAGAGTCTTCTGCTAGTGTGTGCACGGCAGAGCTTGGAGCCCAGGGTCCCATTACTTCAGCATCCGTGAGGGTGTATGAGATGATGTTGGAGAGCTCTGAATTTATTGCCTGATTTTTCCTGAGTAGGAACAAAACTGCCATAGCTTTATGACGTGACCACTGCAGTAGGAATTGGACAGAGACTTTGAATCATTTGACCGAGGACATTGAACAAACAGGAACAAGTTGCCATTGACTGTAATAGGAATACAGGACTGAAAGGGGCCTCTTCAGTCATCTTGTCCAGTCCCCTGCATTCATAGGGTGTTTACTTAAGGATTTCCCAAAATTACTGCACGTGGCTACAAGGTACAGAACCAGAAACACCATGCAACATACCGTAGATAAAAGCAGGGAAAATGAGGACTGGGTACATAAAAAATTGTCTAGATTTGAACCTGCAGAAGTGCATTCCAGAAGAATGAAAGGGAACTGTATGGCTTCAAATATAGTGCAATTCTTTAAAACGGTAGATTTAATATTATATACTATCACCTGGTGGGATATTCATCTTCAGGGAGGAAGATAATTGTTGCTGGTTCTTACTGGGCTGAAATTCTCAATGGCATGTTCTCTCTTTTCCTCCCTTCCTGTCTTACGCTATTCCTCCTTTAGACGAATGACCCTGTCACTAACATATGTCATGCAGCTGACAAGCAGCTCTTCACACTAGTTGAATGGGCCAAGCGAATCCCCCACTTCTCAAACCTAATGCTGGAAGACCAAGTGATTCTTCTTCGTGCAGGTAAAATTTTTGGCGCTCTGCCTGCCTGAATGCTATTGTGATCTTAATCATGGATTATCCCTTCTTTGCTGCTTATTGACATGGAGATGGTGTCAACTGATTTATTGGGAGCCAGGGGTGCTCTAATGTGTTATTTCTAAAACCTGTAGCATGGCATCCACATGTCACAGCACAGTTACTGTGGTGTCATTTTGTCCCAGAAGATTAAGCTATTATGGCTATGTTAACAAGCCCAAAATACAACAGGGGCTAAGTGCATGATGAGCCAAGCTTGCAGCTTAACAGACTAGTGAAAACTGAGCTTAGGCTTGTAGTCTACTGCCTCTTCTGGGGGTTACTGATGCAGGCTTTGTGAGCACTTATGAGGTATTCAAGGTAAATACAAAAGACCTAGGTCAAAGCCCATTAGAATGGGAGTACTGCTGTCCCGTGCTGCTACTTGATAGGCCTGCACGAAGTGGCTAGTATTCGCTTCAGACTCAGATTCCGTTGATTCAGGGGACAGGGATTCAATTCGGTGATTCGAATCACTGTCCCAATTCAATTCAGCTGAATCTCCAAATCAGCCAGGCCAGCCCATCCCCTGCCCCTCTTCCAGCCCGGCAATGGCTGCCCCACCCACCCTGGCTCTTGTTTAAAAAAAAAAGCCCCTACTCAGTGGGTGCACCTGAGAAACCCCCTGGATGGCTCCTGCTGGCAAGTAGCGATCTCTGCTGCCCTGTATTATGCGCAGGGCCTTTCCACAGCCCCCCTGAAGCCCTGAGGCCACTGCAGGAGCAGTGAGGCCTGGGGCTTTTCTTGTTTTGTTGTTTGTTTTTTGTTTGTTTTTTGTTTTTTCTTAAAAGGCCGGAGCTGGTCCAGGCAGGGCACCTGTGGGGAGGCTGGGGAAGTGAGGGGTGGGGTCAGGGGCTCATGCAGAGCCCCCCATGCAGTGGGGGGCAGCAGGGATCCCCCCCCCCCCAGCAGCACCCAGGGAGCACCAGGGCCTTTTTTTTTTTTTTTTTTTTTTTTTGTTAAAGTCCCAAGCTGGGGCTGGCAGGGGCAGGGATCGGGGGGGGGGCTGGCAGGGGACTTTGTGAGCCTGTCAAGGTCGGCTTCAATTGCCAGCCTATCATCTAGTGTGGCTACACTTCCTTGTAATTCGGTGCTGTTGGTGAACTTAGCCAGTCCCTTCTGACACCATAATCCAGATAGTTTAATGTATTTATAAAGAGTAGTGGTCCAAGTACAGAGCCCTGTGGGGTGCCACTTGTCACCATGCTCCATGTTGATATGGTTCCATCAACCATCACTCTCAGGGTCTGACCACAGAGCCAGTTCCCTAGCCATCAGACCATAAGGTTGTTGAGGCCACAGTTCCCCAGTTCTCCCATGAGGATATCATGGGAGACAAGGCCAAAGGCTTTTTTGAAGTCTACATATATGATATCAACCCCTTTTCCTTTGTCTGGGTGATGCATCATCTGGTCATAGAATGAAATGAGATTGGTCAGGGAGGACCTACCTGCAACAAAGCCATGTTGGCTCTCTCTCAGAATGTTTCCTTCCATTAGCCTGTTGTTAGTTTTTTTTGGTCCTTCTGCTGTTAGAAAAAAAATGCTTCCAGGCAAAGGGTACACTAAAATACTAGGGGCACATTTTTAAGAAAAAAGCAATTTTTTTTAGGGCTTAAGTTCCCAGGTGTGATCCTATTCTACCCTCCTCCAGTCCCTGTAAAACTCTTAACACAAGGCAGGTAGGTCTTCCTGTTTACTGCTTTTTATGACTTAGTCTTTGAGCCAGGAAGATGATGCATGACAAAAGTAGGCATATTAATTGTGTTTCAGGTATTTGGGCAGAATAGAATAGGATCCCACTTGGGCACTTGATCAGTCCTACAGGATCTGAACCCATGAATGTGTTGAAACCAATAGGGTTGTTTACACCTATGTTTCAAGTTCTGCACCTCTGGGGAGAAACCATTCACCTTCCTTTTGTGTGAAGTGGTTTCAGGGTGTAAATTTGATTGCCTGAAGTAAGCTCAGGTTACTCTCTCCTGTCCACTGGCCTAGGAGATGCTGCTGCTCTACCCCTCTCCTAAGCTCAGTGACAAGGGAGGACAGAAAAACCATCTTATCCACCCCTGCCAATTTCTCCTTGGCACCCTCCTGTAAAGGGACAGGAGGGTATGTTTCAGGGAGAGAAACTAGTATAATGTGCTCTCATGTCTTCTGCTCCTTATTCTTGCAGGCTGGAATGAGCTGCTGATTGCATCTTTTTCTCATCGCTCTGTGTCTGTGCAAGATGGCATCCTGCTCGCCACAGGCTTGCATGTACACCGCAGCAGTGCACACAGCGCTGGCGTGGGCTCTATTTTTGACAGGTATCTTGCCCATCACTTCACCCCCAACCACTACAAGGCCACTCTGAGGCAACTGGCATGCAACTAAACCAAACGCTTGCTTTATCTTCACCCTACATGCCATTCACAGAGCTCTGTCTCCACCTAGACAGCTGGCAGCCCACTATACGGCAGCAGGAAGCGCTGCAGAAGAGAGCTGTTGGGTTGCTCCCAAGAATGGACAGCCCATATTGAGAGGGGACTAAGAGTATGTCTATACCATGTTCCCAATACATCCCAGCAAGAACACCCCACCTTCCTACTCCTGCTTGCACATACCGAACATGTTTGGCACATACCAAATATAAATACAAAGAGGAAGACCCTGCAAGATTTGAACTTGTGGCAGGATTTTTCTGATGAGCTGCATGCACCACAGAGAGACTTGAATTTCTATGCTGAATTATAGCAGGGACAGGTTACAAACCAGAAATCCTTTTTATGTTGAAACTTGGCTTCAATTCATATAATAAAGTGTAATTTATAGCCTAAACGGGCTTTGCCACCTTCACCGTGTGATGGTAGTAGCTCTGTAGGTTAGGAGAAAGGAGCCAAGGCTTCCACAGTTTAGATACCTCAGGTTATGCATCTAAGTCATCTTTAGGTACCCAAATAAATGGCCAGAGTTTTAGAAGGAAAGATTATATTTGGAAGACAAGAAAAGGGAAGCTCCCAAAATACCTCATCCCAATCCCTCCCCATATTTGGCCACCATTGTGGTCAAGATGGAGCACTGCATGCTGGGACTTGTCCCCTCCATGGGCTCCCTTGTTACTAACATTGCAGCTGATGGCAACTCCCTTCCTATAACAGTGCACCTGCCTAGTGCAGTTATTTGAATCAGCACAGAATCAATCACCCAGGAGACATGCAAGCGTGTAGCCAGTACTGCTCAGCAGTTTGCCTTCCTGGAGTTCTGTATTGGTGCATTTAACACTAGATGCAGACCTTGCCATTCATACACGCTGACAGATTTTGTTTGTGTCTCCTCCATGCAGAGTTCTGACAGAGCTAGTATCTAAGATGAAAGACATGCAGATGGATAAGTCTGAGCTAGGGTGCCTGCGAGCCATCGTCCTGTTTAATCCAGGTGAGCTTTGGTGTCACCAGACACCCAAAGGACCTGCTGCGTGACACACTTGGAGGATTCTCTTATTGGCTTTCAATGACATCCCAAGAGATTCCTTTTGGATAGTCATACATCTCCTTACCCATCTGATGATGTGTCTGTGAATGTATCAAGGGAAGGGAGGGGTGTAGTAGACAGGTTACAGTATTTTGTTCCTGCTCCAAAGGAGTGAATTCAAGCCTTGCTCCAGACTTGTGCTGAACAGAAGTGGGGTGGTGGGAGTTCTTGTTCTCTCTTTGGTCTAGGAGCCAGCACCAAGCCTCAGGCCCTCCAACCCAAATAAGCTAGAGGGGAAGAACATAGAGCTAGTATATCTGCCCTTTTCACTTCTCCAGTGTTATGATGGGTTAGGGAAGCATGTTGTCATGGCATGGCAACTCTTACCACAGGTGGCAACTCATGACAGGGGAGGGATTGGGAGTGTGGGGCATGACACCATAAATGTGTGATAAATTGCTGTGACGTTTGTTGCAAAGGCTCATTTCCTGATGCTGTCTACAACCAGTGCTACTGTTTCTGAACATTATTCCCTTGGATTGCCATAGGGAATGGGTCAAGCATTTGAATATTCCTTATCTCTGGGTCCTATGCCATTTTTGATGACTGACTGTATCTGACCAACAATTTTAAGCACTTTGCAAAAGCAGCCAATCCAAGAACTACAATTTTTTCAATGATTTATTGTAAGGAATCCACCTAATCGCTTATTGCCAATTCCCTGTGTAGTGCTGCCAGTTTGGATATTTTGTTTGGACATTTTTAAGTGAACCTTTTTCATTTATTTTTTTCATTTCAAAACTTTGGGGTTTTTTTTACTTGTGATCACAGAGGTCTGGATTCTGGAGGTCCCTTCCAGTTCTATATCCCTAAAGTACTTCACTTTAATTTAAAATGTAAAAAGAAACCAAATTAAATGTTTAATTCTAAACTACATGTTGGTTGCTGGGGTTTTTAAGTTTGTTTGTTTTCTTCTTTTGAAACGACTGAACTAAATGGAAAACTCCCTCAACTCATTGAAATTTCTGCAGAAAATGAACTAGAATCATAGGGAAATAAGACTGGAAGGGAACTCACAAGCTCATCTAGTCCAGCCCCTTGTTCAAGGCGGAATCATCCCTGATTAGACAATCCTAGCCAAGTGTCTCAGGCTAACTGCTCCCTGGGAGCATGAAAAGGCACTGGTGTGAAACTTGGTTATGTTCTTCAAAGTGGATGTCTACCTCTTTGCCTCCCAAGCCGTGCTCTGAAAGAGGGCCTTTCCTGGATGGTGCAACTATCATCCCCAGCTGCAGAAGAGTAGGTTGGTTTCCATGCCATCATACTGTGGGTTTGGTAGGTGGCACTTCATCCTTTCTTTCAGTCTTATTTATAAGACAATATATTGACCTTAAGTAATGCTCTTAGTCTGTTTTCCCTGCAGAGCCTTTCATTCCCCTGGATTGTAAAGTCAGTGGCTCAGTTCTGTCCCTTTCCATACACTGTACAGTTGCATGGAGAGGGACAGAACTGAGCCACTGACTTTACAATCCACTGGGATGAAAGGCTCTGGAGGGAAAACCGACTCGGAGTATTACCCGAGGTCATCCAGCAGGCCAATGGCAGAGCCGAATATAGAACCTATGTCTCTGGATGCTTTAGCCACTAGCCTGTATCACTCCTCCCTGGCCGACTCAGAAGCCTGTGATTTGAAGTGGCATAGAGCCAGCTCCCGTATTCTGCCCATGGATTCTTCCCTACTAGAATAGTGCCATAGTAGCTGTGGATGCAATCCCATCAGTGTTTAAAGTTCAGAGCGATCCAATCTTACAGCAAGTATTGCTTTTTAGGAGGGAGTTGTAGATGCAATCCCCAGACAAGTAAACTTTTTTTTTATAAGATTGATCCTGTGGGGAATATGCAGCATGCACTCGTACTGTGTTAAACAGTACGTTAAAGGACAAGTACATACGTTGTGAAGTCGGACACTCCCAAGTGAGAAAAAGCCAGGTACAGTTGTGATTCTGTTGCCTTGTGTGCTTATACTGGGCAGTGAATGAGGCAGAGATCCTATGTGATCATAAATTAAGGGCAGATTTATAATCCACAAGGACCCCAACAAAAACCAGGATCACATTGCTTATGTGTATGCACAACCAGGGTCCCTGTCATCTTTGGAAATGCTAGGTGAAACAGAGTCACTGTTAAGAAAGTTGGCAATGGGAGAGAACTCCCACACTTTTTGAAAATATGGTTCTTTTTGCTCAGCTCGTAACCAAATGAAATATTAACCTTCAGTTCTGCAGTGATTTCCTTTTTGCTTCTCCCTTCTCCAGATGCCAAGGGCTTGTCCAGTCCCTCTGAAGTGGAATCGCTAAGAGAAAAGGTCTATGCCACGCTGGAAGCATATACAAAGCAGAAGTACCCTGAACAACCTGGCAGGTGAATACAAATTAGCCCTGTGCCACTTTTCTGTCTATAGGAGATGCAGGTGGGAACCTCCTGGTAGGTACAGATTGTTCAAATTGTCAGTGATCACAGGTACTAAGTGCATCCTTGCTCCTGCTACATCATGAAGGGGGGTGCTATACAGAGTTGGTTGGAATTTTTTATTTCTTCTGATGAAAAATGTTGATGGAAAACTTTTTCCATCAATTTTCAGTGGGAAGGGCTTGGGCTCTTCTTAACAACAGCAAAAAATTCAAGCCCAAACCTGCTGAAGATTGTGGGGGAAATCCATTTTGGTGAACTTTTTTTCCTTTATGGGCTCTTCAGTTAATAACGTAAATTTTCAGAGATGATGAGGGAGTTCCCACAAAGCAAGCCAACAAACCAACCCTTCAGTTTGTCCACATCCTAATTTTGTGTGTTGGGGTGGGGGGGGAGAAGTTTCAGCAAGAGACTTTCCACCAGCCTTAGGTCCACATGCTTCTTATAGGCAGTGACCTCAACAGTGAATCAATGCAGGAGGCTTCACCTCTTTACCTGCCCTGAGAGGCTGTGATGCTATTGGCTATCTGCGGGAAACAGAGATCCATTTCATAGACATTACATAGACATTAGGAAGGGACCTTGGAAGATTGAGTCCAGTCCCATGTCTTGGCACAGTTTAAACAAGCCAAAAGTCTGGCTCAGACCTCTCTAGATGAAACATGGCACTTATGAGTCTGACTCCCATTGTGTTACCCACATCCTCTTGTGCCTCTCTGAAAGATTTATAATTAGGGGTTTAAGTGGCACTTGTAATTAAAATATGAGTGGTGGCTTCATGTTTCCATTAGCGTAAAAAAATAGCAGCATACCAACAGAGATGGACAGCATTCAGCAAAATGGGTGCAGCTCTCTATTTATGAGATTTGATTCACCACTCCCTGCATCTGGTTTCATCATTCAGACCTGGACAAAGGGGGCATAAAATGTTATCATGTGTGGATCTGATGCAAAGTCCATTGCTGTGAAGGCAAACTTTGATTGACTTCACTGAGCTTGGATCAAGCCTCAGATCAGGTAGGTGTAAATGGCTACACAAGACTAGGGAGACCACAATCCCAGGCCCAGCAGAGCGCACTGAACATCATGTCTATTCTAACTCTGGTTTGCAAAGTCCTCTCTTTCCAGTAATTTCTTGCTCTCATGCAAGCAGCAACTGAAGCCTGTTGCAGTGAAGTCTAGTACTGCTGAAGCTTTTTCCTGTGCTGTCCAACACTGCACTCTGCTGGCTGATTGAGAGAAATGGCAGAATATGAGAGTATCCACATGCTGTTTTAAGACTCCTTTAAGAAACAAGGTGCTGGCACCTGGCAGTGCTGTTGCTATTTTTGGCCACAAAGTCAATGCTGCAAACAAGAAATGTGCATTTGGGGGGAGTATGGGGGAGATCAGAGGTCAGTTAGTAGCAAATGTGGCCACATATGGTCCATAAAACAGAGGAAAATGGATAGTAAAAATATTGCTAATGGGCGACAAAGCTTCTCTAGGGGCCATCAATTTTTAAGCAGATTTTAAGAAAGATTTCAATGGCACGTTATAGCTCCTAGGTTATTAGTTCAAGCCCTGGTCAAGGATGGAAGTCAAATGGTTGTTACCAGATAGCCTGAAAAGGACAGATGAAATATTTCTCCAAAATATGCACTTTGTTCCTGTGTTTGTGTGTGTTAAATCTGGAAAGAAAGTGGATCCACCTTCCAGGCATCATGAGGGAACCTGATCAAGCCCTTGAATTTTCCTGGAAGGTCCCAGTTAGAGAGGGCTCTTATACAAGACAGACAAGTGTTTTGGTACCATGAGTTTCTGACCCCTTGAAATATAAGCAAATGTCTCTGGAAAAGGAATATGCAGCTTGAAGCATCAGCACTGCGACACTGGGGTGTTTGGCTGGGGGACGGTCTCCCAAGGGAAGCCTTGTGTCCCCCTTTCAAATTAAAACTAAGTGGAGCAAAACACTAACTGGAGCATGTAAAGGGGCTGGAGGACAGACTTGCAGCATCAGGGAATGGCAGTGTGCATGTGTGGGAAGAGGCAGGGCAGTTCATTAGAGACTGCCTGGTGTGAGCACTTGCTTGCAACACGAGCACCATCTGGGCTATGTTCCTGGTTCCAGCACTAACTTTCTGGTGACCTTGGCTGAGTTGCTTCATCTCTCTGGTTCCTCATTTCCATTTAAACTGTAAGATATTCAAAGTAAGCTGTGTTTTTTCACTGATTATGTCTGGGACACTGGGGCCCTGAGCCAGGTTAGGCACTGCTGAAAATCAAATAATAATGACCTCTGACTTCTGTTGTTCTATGGCACATTTTTCCAGGTTTGCCAAACTCCTCCTCAGACTGCCAGCACTGAGATCTATCGGGCTGAAATGCCTCGAGCATCTCTTCTTCTTCAAGTTGATCGGGGACACGCCTATTGACACCTTTCTCATGGAGATGCTGGAGACCCCACTCCAGATCACCTGATCCTTGTTGCTGGGAAAGAGATGGTACAGACCAGCTTAGGATATAATGGACCCTGTCTGCTCCTGCACAGCCTTCTTTCCCTTTCCCCATACTATGACAGCTCATAATACAGAGAGAGAGGCTTTCTGATTCTTCAGATCTTTTTAGGTGGGAATTTTTGTACACAGGTCAAGTGATGCATCTAACCATTCCCTTGCCAGCTGTAGGATCTCTTCAGAACACTAACAAGCCATTTCCCCCTGTACATATATCATCAGTTTAAATTATTTTTTCACTTTCAAAAATAAAAAGGAACAAAATAAAATAATATATAAGACATCAGCACTAACCTGAGACTGGGGCTTATTATTGTGTTGCATGATGGTCTGTTCTGCAGCGTTCTGGACAAAGATGGGAGAGACAGTCTACTGAGAGTCGAAGACGATCATTTCAGATTACACGCAACTCAGTTTATTTGAAAATTGTTAGCAGCATGTTCCTGGGGACAGAACAATGGGGTAGCGCTCAGGACACCTGGGCTCTTTTCCTGCCTCTGCCACTGACTTCTGTAACATTGGGCATGTTATTTCCCCTCTGTGCCTCTGCTTCTCTTCCCAGCACCTATGCCCCTCTAAATTGTGAGCTATTTGAGGAAGGCAATATCCTTTACTAGAGTTCAGTGCTGATCAGAGTAAGGTGCAGATTGGGACTTGGAGGTCCTACTGTAACACACAACATATCTTCTGTGGTCCTTAACAATAGTAGGTCTTCCTTGGGGTGGTCTTAGCAGATAGGTATCCATACCACAAACATTCCCCCCTCTGCTTTCTCTAACAGAACTTCCAACTATTCTACTACAGTATCACTTAGAGACACCAACTGAGATCAGGGCTTTAAATGGCTGGATAGTGAGAGGCTCAGGAGGCCTTGAACACACAGAGCATGGGAGACTAATCTTATTTGTACAAATGGGAAACTGAGGTATACAGAGATATATGACTTGTATTTGTCGCAGATCTAGGCAAGCATTTTGCACTCAAAACCATTCCTTAACTGCAAGAGCATCTTTCCTCTTTTCTATTGGGGCTGATGGAGACTAGATCTTCCTGCCATCTTTCTGCTGGGAAGGTGAGAAACTCTCATGGAAAAGAGTGTAGGACACTTGCACAGTTTCTGCATGTTCCTAATGTCTGCTGCTTTAGTCTCTAGCTGGATGGTACCGACATGTCTTCCAAAAATGAAATGAATGTCTAGCCGGGTGTGGGGATGCTTGGGAGTTGGTCCTTGCTCTGCTCCCTTGACATCAGTCTCTGAGTGTGATAAGCTGATTTCATTTTGCTTGGCAGGCCCCCACCAATCAACCCAGAAAACACATAGGCTAGGATGAAATTGCACAATAGACCTGAAGGGATGCCACCACATTACCCTACTCTTGATGCTCACACTGCAAGAATCCTACAGGTCTCCCACTGCTTTCCAGGAAAGCCTGTAAAGCCCATGGGATGCTTGGCATTCAGCAAAAGGACATGTGTAAGTGATAACAGTGCCTTCAACCAGTTTCTCTCCACTTGGGACCTGTGCAGCACTCACTCCTTTCAAACTTCAGCTGAAAAACCTGAGGCAATGTACAAAGCCCATGGGGTTGGAACATAATTGAAGTTTTGGTGATGCTCTCGTCTCTCCTGCTCTGTTCCTTTGGAACAGGGAAGGGCTTTTTGAGGTGTTTTGCAATGAAGATCCTAGGTTTGTCATAGGGTCTTAGCTCACTATGATGGTATGTGGGAGGTGCCAGAGTAGATTTTCTTATCTATCTTCCCTGTGAGTGGACTCTACTACCTGAGAGGTTCCTTCTAGTCCTATGTTCCAAACAGAGCTTTACATCTGCATAGTTCATACCACCTCCCATCTATCTACAGCAACATCAGCAAATGACAACAAAATGGCCTTGGTAATGTCTCAGTAAATGCTATTGCCTGGCAGGGTTTCAACCTGATCTCATTCATCATTGGGCAATTCCCTGTTCATTTATTTGGTGGGTTTCTGGCACTCAGGAACAGGTTGAATCATATTGCTTTCCATTAATAAATGCCACTAACTCCAGTTTGTCACTGTTTACCTGCTTTGGTCCACTGAAATGGACTCATCCATTCTCAGCTGCAAACTGGTCAAAATGAATGCTTCTTCAGTTATAGGCACACAGTGAAACCAGTTGGCTGTGCTGTAGGTGGGAGGCTCAAGGGGTACTGATGGGATACAATCCAGACCATGCCAGGACAAGAAATGTAAACCTGCCATCACATTTCCACCAGTTCCACAATAACTACACCCCACAACAGAACCATCACCATTCCTGGATCTTACACCTGCGCCTCCAGCAATGTAATCTCTCTCATCCAATGCACCAAATGCCCTGATGGAAAATATGTAGGATAAACCAACTGTGTACCAGAATGAACATGCGCCAATAATCTGTCAATGACTAAAATATCCAATTACCTGTGGGTACCCACTTCTTACAAGACAATCATGCCCCCTCTGATCTCTCAATTCGAATCCTCAAAGGGAACTTTTACAAAACACCTTTCGTAGACAAGCCTACCAACCTCACTGAATAAATCAACTGGATACAAAAGCTCATGGACTTGATGTATTACAACCTGCCTAACATCTGACACATCAGGTAACCTGCCTCAAGCTTGCCACTTGCATTCCTTCACACATTTCCCTCCCCCCTCCTCACCCCCATCTCTACCCCTCGTCTTCCAAACTTCCACTCATTTGCATTTTCACAGACTTCTTGTTATACTTTATACTTCTCTACCTTGGAGAACACATAACAGCAGCAGAGTCTCCCAGGGCATGTCTACATGTGCATTTTAATATACAGTAACCTATTTTACTGCATATTAAAGTGTCACATAAAAAAATGTGATTATGTTAATGCACAGTAAAATAAGCAACTGCGCATTAAGCATCACTTTAAAACCATGTGCATTCATAACTGTGCATTAAGGCAGCCAATTGTGCATTTCTTTAGTACCTCACATTGGAGTTACTAAATTTAATGCTCATTAGAAAAAGCACCTTAATGCACATGTCAACACATCCCAATGCCTGAAGAAGGGTGTTTGTGCCTAAAAGCTTACAAAACTTTTTTCCAACTATTTAGTGGGTCTAATGCAGTGGTTCTCAACCCCGGGTCATGACCCAAATGAGGGTCACGGGGGTAATGCCAGCGGTGCCACACCCAAAAGATGAGTTGCACTGCATGTTGGGAGCTTGCTCGTCCCCACCCCTGGGCTGCCACTATTGTTGCCACCACACTCCACTCCCATCAGCGAGTCACAGAAAAAAAAGGTTGGAAACAACTGGTCTAATAAAAGATATCACAGCTACCCAAAGGACCTTGCCTGCCTATGTCCTTTGACCAACACGGCTACAGCCAACAACCCTGCCGCTAATAGCATTTTACTCAGCAGTACAGTATGACCAAGAGGTCTGAATGTACTCAGATATACCAGGGGCATGTTCCAGGCCCAGTTGGGGTCAGGTTTAGGTACAGCTAGAAATGAGGGATTTTTTTTTTTTAACAAACTGGTTAACTATTAGTATCAGCTGAGGGGGAAAGTATCAAAGCCTTTTATTTTGTTATTTTTTAAATAAAATGTTTCATTTTGGTAGTACCAAAACATCATTTTGCCATTCTCAAAATAAAACTTTTCCAATTTAGGCCTTAATTTTTTTAAGGGTTAAAATAATCTAAAAACTAAACAGAACTTTCATTTTGGGCCAAACAAAATGCTTAGCAGAGGAGACACTCCTTGAAGTAATTCTCACTTCTCCCTTCTTGTTTTGTCCTCCACTGATGCACTATTTCCTCTCTAAACTATTGCACTTTGTAGCCATCTGTTTCTACAAACACATCTGACCCCTTCCTTAACTCCTCCTCTTCATCAAGGCGGAAAGGAAGGCAGAAGTTTCTGCAGAATTTTCTCTCTCCAATGAGCTCCCAGATGCACATTCACAAGGGAAGACCCTCAAGTCCCAAGCAGACACCCAAAAGAAAACTGGCTGACTACTCTCCCTTCAAGCCAAAGGATGAATCTTCTAATGCAGCTGAAATGTGCCTTGTACCTTAATGATACAGTAACAACAAGAACTGATTATTCAGAATGGACCATTCATTATTTAACATTGATACCAGTTTCATGTCAAATGCTGCTGATTTTTCCTGGCATCAAGGAAACAAAGGTGTTTTTTAAGCAGTTCCATTGTTTTCCACTAAGCGGCTCCCTAGCACACAGCTTTCTCAATCTAACCTCCAAGCAGGGAGTTGAAGACAGTTTATAAATACCTGTCACCCTTCAGTAATCTGGCTGCTTTGACACAGGTGGCTGCGGGTGCTCATTCTTGCTGTCACAGTGTCTTCTAATCCGATTTATGGTACTCAGAAATGTTACAGAGTCATGCATGGATTTCTGATCCTTTTCTAATTGCCTTAGTAAATAATATTTGCTAGGAGAAGACCTTAGGATTGTGAGAAATGCTCAATGAGGCACTGAGTCATAGCCTCAGTTGGGGTAAAGTGACATATCTCTGGTTAAATCAATTTGTACCTGCTGATGTTCTGGCCCATTTTACCTAGCTGTGAACGGAGTCAAATAATAGCTCAAAGAAACTTTCCCTCTTCTCCAGTGCTCCTACAAAAGGATAAGACATAGCCCTGTATTGATTTCCCAGTGTACAAGGATGAAGGGAATCAAGCATGGACAGAGGTGCTGTATGGCCCAAAGGGCCATTTAACACCCAGAGTGCCAGTGACAAGACCCTTGTCTTGCAGTTCATTGCACTGTACCAACCTGCATAGCTAGGAGGGTATAGAGTAGGTGTTATCTTTGGTTTCTGAGTTTCAAGGAGCCACACTTTTTGGATTTTCTTTGTACCCATGAGAGCTAACTAGTATATTGCTGTGGTACTTTTAAAAAATCCCCTCATAATCACATGACTCCAGGATCTGGGAATGTATGAAAGACAAGTGACTTGCACTAGGATACTCCACTAGACTTCTCAAAGAAGTGGTAGTGCTGGAAGATCACTTTGAAATAAATAGGACTAATCAGCATTGAATGAGTTTATAAATGTGATCCACCTTTACATTGTAGAAACTCTACAAAACAGTAAATATAACTTATTGCTAACTAAAAAACTAATAATCATATGTTTCTACAGTAAATGCAAATATAATTCCGCTTCTTCCAAATTTTTCGAGAGTTGTGAAAAAATTTCAGAGTAAGGGAAAAAAGAAGTTAAAAGGTAAATAGAAAAAGTCCTAGAGCTCATTTGTTCTAC